ACCCTGTGTAAAAAGCAAACAATTTTGTTTTCAATCATAATCAAGTTGGTCAGCCTGTTAATGTGCTTAAAGGTGGACCTGAATATTGCTCAGCAAAATTTAATAAAAAGTCATTCATACAGTGTATTTTGCAACTAGTTCATACAGCTCAGTTACCATCAAACGCATCCTAGTTGATTGAATCTCACATGTCCAGGTCATATTTCAGGTCAAAATATAATAAATGATATTTAGTATATAATAAACTCTATTTTGATTTAAGAAGAGTGCATTTTTAGGAGCATTTTTGCATTATTTCCATGACAATAAAGCGACCCCACTGTTACATTTGCATCACGGTTAAAAAAAAATCTCCTTACTGTATAATGAAAAATATATTAAGTTGTAAAATACTACTGTATTACAGTAATGAGAATCTAATAAAAAATTGTGCATAATTGTGAATTACAAACTCAAAAGTAAAACATCCCAGTATTTGGGGGGAAATGTGCTTCCAGTTATGAAAATATTTTGCAGTGCATCCCATCTTATTATTTATTTTAAATAATAATAATAATGATAATAACACACTTTTGGGGTGAAATGTGACCTGGACATGTTATCCATCCAGTTTTTAAAAAGAAGCTAAAGAACAGAGTTGCTGTTGAATCAACTACAATGGTTCACAGTACTCATTATACCGGCAGATTAATATTTCTACCATAAACCCTTGCCTATTTACCCATCCTGCAACACCTCGCTTTCTTTTCCTTCTTTCTCCTCTGCACCACATGCTCTCTGGAACTCATTCGACCTTCATTTTATTCCAACTAGCAAATCCTTCTGCATTCCCATCCATTAAAATATGAGGTACAACTTTCCCCCGGACATTCACCTTCACAAAGTCTAATTCAGTCCAAAAATAATAACTACTGTCAAGTTTAATATTTCTTTCTGAATCTCTAACATCAGTAAATCAGCCCACGTCCCAAATGATGACAGTGAGTGTGTCCTGCACAGTGAGGGTTTAGTCTAACTGAAATGATTGGGAGACAATCAGATAGAAACTATAAATACAGTTCTCAAACCGTCTGAGGGAGATGGGACTAATACAGCTGCAGGTGAGAGATCACATCATGCCCTTCTTCTCTGTGTGCCTCTCTCAGTGCTCGGACTGCTGTTTCTTATGGAAGGGGGCTTTAAGGCGGCTCCAGAAGGAATGGCTGCGCCGGGTTTTCCTCTCGCCGCCCCGCACCATCTCGGCCTCGCGCTGGCGGATCTGACGCACCAGTGCAGCAAACACCTCGTCGATGTAATAGCGGAACGCCGCGGAGGTCTCAAAAAACGGGCAATGGAACTCCCTCGCCAGCTGTTTGCCCTCCTCCACAGACACCTGAACGCGTGAAGACAAAACAAACAGCCCTTCAGTCTAAACGGCTTCATTTGAGCCTAGTATGTCTCCAACGTTAGTTAATGATTAGATATGTAAAAATAGTGGGTCATTCGTTTACATAGATTTATACACACAGTATATCCATGTATATGACGTTTTTGAAAGAAGTCTCTTAAGCTCACCAAAGCACCTGCATTTATTGAATCAAAAATACAGTTAAACTGTAGTATTATGGAATATTTTAGTGTTTTATTTTAAATAACCTTTTTATTGTTTTATAAATAGTTCTGTAAGTTAAAATATAAATTATAAAACGTATAATAACTTCTAAAAATTATAAAATAAATATTGTAAATTATAAAATATTATTTTTTCCTGTGATATAAAGCTGAATTTTCAGCATCATTACTCCAATCTTCAGTATCATGTTTCTTCAGACATCATTCTATGCTGATTTGCTGCTCAAGATTTCTTATTATTTTCAATGTTGAAAACAGTTGTAACATTATAAAATGTCTTTACTGTCACTTTTGATCAAATGAATGCATCGCTGCTGAATAAAAGTATTAATTTACTTAATTAATTTAGAGAAACCAGAGAATGCAGTTATGGAAAATGAGTCAGAACCACCTGAGTTAAAAACCCGGTCTTCCGGGTTTGAAGGGTGATGAACTCCAATAGATGGTATTCTGGCTCGGTGGTGATTGGGAGAGTTTTCTCCCAGATGAAGGTGATGAGAGAAGAGCTCAGAGCTCGAGAGACATCAGCTGAAATCCTTGGTGAATGGAAAGACGAGGCCGCAGCCTGGCACAATCTTAGGGTGTCCTTAGAAGAGTTCTAGCTCAGCATCCTCATCTTCTCAGAATCTAAAAGAACTTTAGACTGAGCGGTGTCGAGGTCTGGGACTTAGCAACCAGAAGATGGGAAGGTGATGAGAGACGAGTGAAGAGACTAAAAAGCGAGGCGGGTCACTGAAGTGAGGTCTTTAACCTGGGGATATGTGATAGGAAAGTCAAAGAAAGGTTTGTCTGTGAATGAGAGTCCATTTATATGGCATTGTGTGTCTTGCCTATGGGTAAATTAATTGAGAGTTGCTCTGCCCGCATTCCTTTGGGCAATAAAACCAGTGATATCAGCATTGGTTGCCATGGAAC